TCAACCAAGAGCAAACCTGTTTTTGTTCACTTTCTATACTGATGTCCTAAATAACTTTATAAAAATGTTCTGTTTCTAAATAAAATTTTGACCTATCAGTCTAGTCCAACTCATTTATAGATAAAGAGATTTAAGAGATTAAATAATTTGCTCTTGAAAGAGGTCACTGAAAGATCTCTTAGACTGGCTCCTATCAAAAATAAGATTTTCAGGGAGATTTGTAAGTAGAGCTGAAGGTATATGGGAAATCAGCAGTAAGAGAATGCTGAAATTTTTAAGTTTACAAAGCCCTAGTACATACATATAATTTTTATCTTTACAACATATTGGTGGAACAGGCAGTGCAGGTATTATTAATTCCAATGTATAATGAGGGAATTGACTCTGGGCAAGACCAAATGGCAGATGTAAGGCTACAGCTGTTACAGCCTAAACTAGAACTAGGTCTTCTGACCTTGTACCCAGAACATTTTGTATTACGACACACTGCAGACTGAAGACATGACAAATAAATGTGTCAACATATCTTGAAGACATGAGTTTATAGTGGGTAGAAGATTCACACTTTCTGGCACCCCAGGATGTGATTTGGCAATTGTGTACATTTCTCCAAAGTCATCCTATGCTGCCATTGCTCATAGTCTGAATCATGTACACTGTTGCCATTGGAGGAATATTTAAGCATACTTTTCCATGTGCTATTTCAGCAACATCAATTATTTACTAATTGTGGAGACAAAATTATCTTATTAGATCATAGAAAACCTGCCTTTTGGTTTGGTTAGGCTTTTGTTCCTCCTGGTTAAAAATCTTTTTGTAGTGCTTATAAGAATTTATTTAGCTAAAACATTTAATGTGTAAGAGAGTTTGAAGATAAATTTTGTCCTTCCTTTTTTTGTTTGTTTTGTCTTAAAGTATAATCCTTCTTTCATTTTCTTCTCTCACCCTCAACTCTTGTCTACCTGAAGAATAATTATTCATTATTGGAAATGTAAAATATATTTTCAAGAGTAAAAATAAAACATAAAAATATATAACCTTACAAAATAGGATCCAATATGTAATAGTGGATTGGAATATTTTAGAGATTAGAGTGTGAAACTGAGGAAACATTTGAAAAGAAAAACTAGGTTTTCTGAGGGAATAGCTGGGTGGTACTTTATGATATGATGCATAAACCAATTTAAAGTCAAGGCTGGAAGTCATACTTGGCTTGCTGGTCTTTCTTGGTGCTCCAAGAAAACTCCTGAGGCTCCATAAAGGTATACAATTAATAAACTGTGTAAACAAATCATTTACACTAATTTCACAGAACAAAATCCAGAATCTCTAACTAGATCATCATAGGAGAACATAAGCATATCGTTAGAGAAACTGCTACTATACATTTACACTAGGATTAACTGACAAGTTCCCCATCTTTGAAGAAGCTGTCTAGATGTCTTTAGTTTCTTTAGACCAGGTGGAATTAGGATATTTGGGATGAGTAGAAAAAGGAGGTGATCATGGAGATAAGTTCAAAGCCTTCTCTTTACTTTGCCCGAGAGAACAATACTATATGAAAATACTATTGTATTTACTTCTTGAAATTGGGTAAAACTGAGAAAACAGAAAACTATAAATAATCATTCATTTAAAAAGATACAAATTCATTTCTCTTTCACATAAGTGGAGTTTGGAAATAAAGAGTACAGTCTTGGTATAAAGATTCTGCAATCAAGGATACAAACTCTATTGTTGCTTTGCCACCCTCAGTGTATATCTTCTACCTAACAGGTATTGTGTAAAGAGATGAATCAAACTATCTCTGCCCTCAAAGGGATCATTTTGGTGATTACAATTTACTGATAATTTTCATCCTAACAAATAACAGTACCATTGTGCTCTGTGATCTCAGAACTAGAAATCTGTGATGAGCAGACATGATTGGCCCACCAACAACAAAGTGAAAAGATTATAGGCTTAGAAGCCACAAGCTTCTATTCAAAGCTCAGCTCTGTCACTATCTGTGCCTTTGAGCACATTACTTAACTTTCTTAATTTCAGTTTCTTCCTCTGGAAATTGAGAGTAATGCCCACCTCTTAGGGCTGTTCCAAGGATTAAATGAGATAACGTAAATACTGTATTTGCCATATAATGAAGGTATTTGAAAGATAATTGTAAATATTATAATTACTACTAATTATTGTGTTATTTCCAAGAGTGGATTAGGTTTAACACAGTGCTTGGCAAATGTATGTAAAATTAATACATGTATAATGCTTGCTATGATCTATATACTGTTCTTTACTTTGTTAGAGAGGTGGTTGTAAGCCTTGCAACTAGCCTTCAAGGTTATATATACAGAAATTGAGACAAAAAAAAAATAGGTGGAGTAACTTGCCCAAAGTTACACAGCTAAATACCAAGGATGAGATGTGAACCCAGGTACTATTTTCCAATCTATACTCTTCCTAATATACTCTATCAGTACAAGTAACATCATTTTTAATCTATGAATCATATATAATAATATAAAGAAATTTTTGACATTCAGTGACTAGCTTTTGGTGCAGGAGCACATCCCCGCTACCTGAGCAAGGTTACCCAACTTTAGGAGGCCCTATATATCACAACACAAAACATAGGGGTTGGGGATTTAGCTCAGCGGCCCAGCGCCTGCCTGGCAAGCACAAGGTCGTGAGTTCGATTCCTAGTACCAGAAAAAAAGAACCAAAAGAAAAAAAAAAAAAATACAAAACATAAATTTATAACAAATGGGCATCACTGGTTCTTGAGATCTGGCTTTCAGCATTGGCGTAGTACTATACATTCTGAAGCATCCACTCTTGTGCTTAAGGGCATTCAGGACCCAGGGAAAAACTTCTTTACCTCTCATGTCCTGTGTCCCTAAATGAAAGAAAACTGTGTCTAAATGCTGGGAAGTCCTGTGGCTTGTACTATTGCCAAACTTATAGATGAACACCAGCAATTTGGGTAGATTTGAATAACAGAAGTGTCTAGGTAAAAGAAAAGACTAACTTTTCAGATCCTGCCTTTCAGCATGAGTGCAAAAGATTTTTGCATAATGCAGTATCATTTTCCAGTATACACAGCATCCATTTCAATTTGTGTTTCCAGAGAATAGGCATGAACTAGCTCTTCTTCACATTTCAATTTGTGTTTCCAGAGAGTAGCCATTAATTAGTAATACTTTATTGGATGTGGTGGCTGAGGAACATTTTGTAACATAAAGTAATCCGCATTATTCTTCAATGTGTGAATATACAGGCAGTATACAGCATGTATGAAGTGTGACATCAGTTCTTTACATTGGCCACCAAGTGACCAACAAATGTAAGAAGTGAGAATAATTTTATTTTTATTAAAACACTTAATATATGCAAATAAATGCAAACATTTTCTTTCAATCATTTTGATTTTAAAATTTGATATTCAATAATTATTTCACCTTTTGGATTTCAAAAAAGATAATTTTGAATACTCTATAAGAATAACTTTCAAGCAAAAATTTTAATTTTTCACTTTTTTATATTTAATTTACTTTTTTGATGGAAAATATATTTGAATACTTTGAATACATTACATTCTGTGTTTTAATCTTTTCAGACATTGAAAATAAATACAATATAAGGCAGAGATAGAATGGAGATGGAAAATATGAAAGAAATTCAGAAAATAAAAAGCTTAAGGTAGAAGGTAAGACACTTCTTTCTACAAGTTCGGTGGTTTGATGTATAACTTTAAAATATTTAGGCATATGATATGTGGGCCTCTATGGATTGTCTGGTTCACCATCATTATGTTAGGGATGGGCTTTTCAGGTGCAGCCTGTGCATAAATTATGAATCCATCATAATCTACTGAGAGTTGTCATGATCCAACTACCTTCCCAAAGCCCCACTTTCAAACACTGCTGACTTGGGTATCAAACCCCCTGAACACATGATCCTTAGGGGACTGCTTTAAATTCAAACGATAACAGAGCCCATGTGGGAAATCTCTATACTATGTTCTGAAATAAGGAATAGTTTCTAAGACAAATGATCTTCAAAGAAGAAAAAAGAAAAGTACCTTAAAAACGTTTCCATTAATTGGGCCAATCAATAAATGCATAATGATATTCATGTAATGTGCCCCAGCAGACAATGTCCAGAATAAGTAAAAGATGTGGTCCCGAAGCAGGGAGTCCACAATCTAATTTATCTAATTGAATACATAAGCAATGCATACTGGAGACAGTTAGAGAATAGATACTAAAAGAATTCTGAACAAATGTGATCGAAGATCAAAACAGAGAAAGACTGGTGTGGTCTTGGATCATCCCACAAAGATGGCTTCAGAGAGCAACACTGGATGAAGCCAATAAAATCCTTGGCATAGAGTTAGGGAGGGCCCTGCAGGTCTATGAGAAACACGTGAACTATAAACTACATTTTAAAACAAATAAAATGCCATTTCTTTGTTTCTTTCCTTCCACATAGTAGTACTACAAATGTTCTAGTATTATTTAGTCATTTTTTAATCAGTGAGGGAACCGTGACGTGTGTGTGTGTGTGTGTGTGTGTGTGTGTGTGTGTCTAGAAGGAAGGGGAGGGGGGAAGTTAAACAACTAAATAGCAAGGAGTGGGCTGAAAAGATATGTCCACATCCTACGATCTGTAAATGTGATTTTTGGAAAAGACTTTTCAGATGGGATTAAATTAAAGATAAAGTTAGAGGTATAGACCAGTGGTATAGTGCCAATAATGCAGGAAGATTTGGGTTCAATCCCTAGTGTAACAGAAATAAAAAATTAAAGTTATGGATCTAGACATGAGATTATCCTAGATTATCCAGTTAGAGAAGACCATGTGAAAACAGAGGCAGAGACTGGAGTTATGCAGCCATAAGCCAAGGTATACCTTAGAGTTCTCTTCTCTTTTTTTTTAAAAGAGCTCTACAATAGCAATTTATTATCCCTAAACTTAGTGGTTTAAAACAACAATATATCACATACTTTTTGCAGGCCAGGAATTTGGGAACAGCTTAGCTGAGTGGTTCTGGATCATGGTCTCTCATGAGGTTGCAATCAGGATGTTGTCACAGCTTCTGCAAGCCTGACTAAGGTGTTGGACAATAAGCTTCCAGGACGGCTCATTCACAAGGCTGGCAAGTGAGAGCAGGATCTTGGCAGGAGGCCTGCATTCTTTGCTACGTGGACCTTTCCAGAGGTTTCCTGAGTATTCTCATAACATGATGGCTGATTTCTGCCAGAGTGAGTAAGCCAAGAAGGAGCAAAGAGGAAGCTGCAATATCGCTTATGACCTTAGCCTCAGAAGTCACATAACACCAATTCCTCACTCTATTGGTTGCATGTGTCAGCCCTATGCCTACAAAGGCATAAATACTAGGAGGTGAATCATTAAGGTCCATCTTGGAGACTGCCTAGGACAAGTCTCGAATTTGTCAGGATATTTTTGAAGCCAGACTATTTTCTACATAGTTATCAAAACCATCTATATGTGGAGTTATTATATCAAACAATATAAAATATTCATTGGAATGAGGAAATTATATTATTATATATTATTCAAATATTCGGTTTGGTTTAGTTTCATACCTTAGGTTGAGTCATGTGAAACATGCTATTTCTGTCACTGAAAAACATTGTCTGCTATCAGCAATTTCATGTTCTCAACCTACTACTTACTAAGGTGGGACTATGAGCTAAGATATTTTAGATAAATATTTAAGAATCTATACATAGATTTTTTGTATGTGTGTCTTTTTGAGATAGGGTTTTGCTCTGCAGTTCATGCTGGCCTTGGACTCACTTTGTAGCCCAGGCTGGTCTCAAACTTGCAATGATCCTCCTGCCTCAGCCTCCTGAATGCTGGGATTAGGCATGTGCCACCACACCCAGCCTAAAAATTTACTTTGAAATATTAGTTATGCAGAACTTTAAATGAACCAGAACAAACTATTCCTCAATCACTCTGGTTATTTGAAATGTTACTACATTTTGGATATACCTTTAAAGTTTTTTTTGTTTTGTTTTGTTTTGTTTTGTTTTGTTTTTCCGTTACTGGGAATCAAACTCACAACCCCACGCTTGCCAGGCAGGCACTGTGCCGCTGAGCTAAATCTCCAGCCCCACCTTTAAAGTTCTGAGTCTATGAGCCCAAAGCTATGTGGCAGAAGTTCTGAGAGGGCAATGTATCCATGGAACTTGATAAAGGTGTGACTGTAACATCGCTGTGACCAACTTTTTTCATGTATACATGTAAGAATTAGACTAGATAATATCTAAGTAGTTGTTCTGTGCTTAAAAATTTTTAACATGTCTTTACATGTTGTGTATGAGCTACTACCAGTTCCTTTATCAAACTCACACATACTCTGGTTTCTTTTCAGATTGTATAAATCTCTCACCTTTGTCAAACTCACAGAAAGAAAATTTGAAAATCAAATCAAGTTCTAACAAAATGTCTTTTAAATAACATAGAGTATTAATAGTTAAACTTAGGGTCTCTAGTATTTATTAGTACTCCGATTATCTTCCTTCCTGCTTGGTTCTCTGGAAAGCATGGACTGGCCTTCAGATTAATTTGACTTGCTATATTTGACAATGCTTTTTGGGTTCACATATTTTTTCTTGTGCCAAGTCTTGCATTTTTCATTTCCCACAGAATCAGGACAAACTGTACATCTCCTGCTGTGTCCAGTGCAGATCTGGCTAAATGTCAACTATGTTAATTGGTATAGAGCAAACAGCAGGCCTATTTTTATCTGATTAAAAATCCCTACAAACATTCTCTAAAGTAAAGCTATGTCAATGCAAAGTGGTTAATTATAATATGAAGTTTGGCTGATGTGCTCTTCTTGCCTTTACTATAGCATGTAAAAATGTACTATTTCCTGAAATCTTCCAGCATCTGAAATTTTAATCCTGTGTTTGGAAGTTTAGGACTTGGTATTCAATTTTTCTCTAGATAGTCAACCAGAATAAAATATCTTTGTTTTAAAATGATAATGTTTAAACAAATGATTTACTGACCAATCTGTAGCACTTTACTTAAAAGGTAGTTTGAAATATCTTATTCTACTGTTAAAATGTCTACATATTAAAAATTGCCCCAGAATGAGCAGATTATGTAATATAATTGGTTTAGTTAACTGGGGTGTGGGAGGTGTAGGCGTGAAAGAGTAAAAGGTAATGAACTTTGATAAATTTATATGAGCAATAACAAGGCAGCAGGAAAAACTTAATTTTATCAGAAAGTGACTGTCTTTTCAGCGATTGTTCAAAATTGTATGCTGTCTCTTTAATGGTGGAATTCCCCAGGACTGTATTTACCTGGCTCCCCAATTACCTTCACACATTCTGTGATTTCACCAACATTTGTATATTCACATTGTTTGGATCTATATCTCTAATTTACATTTATATCCCTTGGTATCTTAGACAGCTCCCTTTGAGTGTCTCATGAGCAACTCAAAATCTAGGTCTGGGACTTCTAATTTCAATTCCAGCATAAAAGCTGCTTAAAAATCACCACCTTAGCAAGGCATGGTGATGCACTCCTATAATCCCAGTACCCTAGGAGGCTGAAACAGGAGGATCTCACATTCCAGTTGAGCATGGGCAACTTAGTGATATAGCAAGTCCCTGTCTCAAAAGTATAAAAATATAAAAGAATGAGGGTGAGAATTTAGCTCAGTGCAAACACCCTGGGTTCAATCCCTAGGAACACACACACCAACAAACAAACAAAAAAACCCAAAAAACAAAAATACAAAAGAAACAAAAAAAATCACCACTTCATCCTAACAAGTAAAAAGTTGGGCAAAATCAAACCAAATCAAACCAAACCAAACCAAAACCACCACTCAGACTAGGCAAAAAAGTGAGGTCACAGGACAAACAACTGCCCCAAAATTGAAAAGGCAGAGACAGCAGAAACCCAAAATCAGAATCTTCTACAGGGGTAGACAATGGATATGGAGTGCAGTGAGATGAGAAGAATAGGTACTAATGCCCTATTGCATACAAAAATGAGTATGGCTGATGATGATATTTCAAAATAGTAAGTAGTAGTAATATTTTGATTCTTTTAACCAATACAAAGACATAATATACTTCTGAGGTGATAAATATGCCAGTTACTCTGATCAAATCATTATACAATTTGTTCTCCTACAAAAATGTCAACCATAAACATTACTATGTTTTACTATTTAGTATGACACAAGTACTATGTGTCAATTAAACATTAAAAAAATACATATTTAAAAAATCTCTACAGAAACCAGTACAATACGGAAAATATAAACTGTATGCTATGGGTGAATATGGTTTGTTCCCCTAAAATTCAGGTTGATGCTTAATTCCTCCATGCAGCAGTTTTGGAAGGTAGGGCTTATTAAGAGGCATCTGGGTTCTGGGCTGGAGCTCTTATGAATGGATTATTGACTTTCATGTGAGTTCTTCTCTCATGAGACTGCATTAGTTACCTTGAGAACCAGTTATTATAAATAAGTCAAGGCTACAGTTAGTGTTCTCTCTCTTCTGCATGTGCCCACTTGCACTTCTGTTTTCTGCACAGGTAAAGCCACACAAAGTGCTTGGCTGACATGGACTTGAACTTTTCTACCCCCAGAAATGTGAGCCAAATAAACTTCTATTCTTTGTAAACCAACCAGTCTCAGGTATTCTGTAATAGCAACAGAAAATAGAATAATTACTATAACTGGTAAATGCTGAAGATTCAGTGAGGATAACTCTGAGAAATTTCAGAAATTTCACAGGAATCCAGGATAGTGAGAGCCACACAACTTTTGTGAGTGCTAGGTGCTCCGCCAGCTAATTACAGTGAATACTGGAGGAAAATTCCCTCATGCTTCTTGCAGGAGGAGGGAAAGAGGAACTATTTCAAAATACCTCAGAGAATTCTGTTGTTAACAAACCCTATCTCCAGAAGAAAATATTTGATCAGAGTAGGGTTTTTCCCAACACTGACAGTTGATTTTCTAATTCTCTGGACACCATCTATTTGCCCAATAATTCAATTTAATTTTGATACCAACTACCTGGAGTGCCAGACATCACAGGTTTAAGGACTCAGCACAAGACTGCTCCTATATGACATGCTAATCAGGCCATCCACACTTATTGACTGGCTAACTGTAGTCTAGAGTTCCCCTGTATGATGGTTTATATCTAGGAGTCCCCCAAGGGCCTCATGTGTTCCCAGGCAGAACTTTTTGAAGGTGCCTGGATAATGGGGTACTACAGCTAACGTGCTGTTAGGTGGGGTCTGGTTGGAAGAGCTGGGTTACTGGAGCTATGACCTAAAAGACCTAGTGGCTCCCTTCTTGGGAACTTGCTTCCCTCTCTGCTTCCTGGCCTCCTAACATGAGCAGCTTTTTCTCCAGTGTCCCTCTGCCATGCTGCCCTGCCTTGGAGCCAGTGGACTATGAATTAAAAAGGTAAGCCAAAATAAACCTCTCCCCATTTAAGTTTTGGGTGTCATCGGCCTGTATCCCAGCAATGAGAAAGTAACTAAGACATCATGACTCCCTTCTTAGGTTCAAAAACTTGCTAGAATGGCTCACAGAACACAGGAGTGTACTTTACGTATATTTACTGATTTGTTATAATGGGTGTAAGTTATCAGCTAGATGAAAAAGTATATAAGGCAAAGTCTGGAAGGACTCTGAGTTCAGAAGCGCCTGTCTCTCTGCAGTTGTGATACCTTACTCTCTCAGACCTGAATATTTTCACCAATTTGGAATCTCATTGAATTTAATTATTTATGTGTTTTCATAGAGCTCAATTTCCAGGTTACTCATCTTCATCCCAGAGGATGGTGGATGTTTCAGTTATTTATCTCTCATGGCTGAGACAAAATATCTGACACCCAAAGTTAAAAAGGGGGAAACACAGTTTATAGAGGTTTCAGTCCATAATTGGCTGCCTCCAAGGCAGGGTGGCACATGGCAGAGGGGCAACCATTCATGGTGTCAGAAGACAGCAAAAGCAACAAGGGAAGGAGAGAGAGGAAGAGACAAGCTTCTTTCTGTCCCTTATATTGTATGAAGGCCACTCGCCCTAAGTCAGGTGTAGCACTCACATCCTTAATCCCAACATTGGACCATGGATCGATCACAGACTGTAGAAGATCACACCCATGACTGCATGAGGTTTTGGGGGACATCTAGATGCAAACCATAACAGTGGGTCAGGATGAAATTTCCAACTCTTTGATGATTTGGTCTATCTTGTCACCAACCTCTTCCAAGGCCATTTAGGAGTCCCACTTTAAGTCCCCTCATTAGCATAAACTCAACTTTAAAGTGCTCACTATGAATTTTTTAAAAAGACACTTCTATCATTCAGTAAATTCCAAATGTTTTAGGAGCTCTGTTTGAGGAAAAATGGATGAAGACCAAGTATATTTTTATATATACCATAAAGACTTAACCTAATGGGTTTCAAGCCTAATTTATCTGCAGAAAGGGAAATGACCAACTATTGCTGCTTCTAGCCAGCCTGACTCCTAAGGTGGAAGAAAAACTAAGAAACACCAGTGAAGTTCAAATTCAAGGACACAGAGTTAC